TGTGGTGTGGTGTGGTGTGGTTCGGTTATGTTTTTGTCAGCCCTGGACTGAAACCCTGATTTCCCAGGCCTGCCCTAGGGAAGGGGCTCGCTGTGTTCCCGTTCAAACCATGCTTCACGACACCTCAGGCACCAGGCTTCTCTCCTGTGGTTTCCCTCTACCTTAGCCAGCCTGCAGGCCCACGGGGTGAAATATGAGAGCAGCTGGTTTAGTATAATAATGCGAGCAGTGTCTGCTTTTGCCAGTGATTGAATTTTAAAATGTGAACAGGATCCAGAGGATAAAGGTTAATGTGACACCCTATTGTGATGGTTATTGCGAACAGTCATTACGGTTTTAACATTTCCAAAGGCTGATACATGCCACAGGCTATTAGCATTACTGCTGCTTCCGTTATGACAGAGTCAACCGGAGCCATATAAATAATCATGTTCACTCATAAACTTGGAGAAATAATTCAACTATGCCTTAAAAGAAAAAAAAAACCTAAACTCAGCTTGCTGTACTTTACAAAGTCCTCTTATAAGCAGGCACCAGTCCCTGGAAAAGGAGTCGTGCTTGGTAAAGCAGAGGGGCAGCAACAAAGAGGAAGACCCTCAATGGGCTGGATGAACACAGTGGATAAAACAAAGGACGCAAGTGTAGTATGGATTGTGTGGGTGGTGCGGAATGTTCTTGTACATGGCATCGCTATAGGTCAGAAATAACTCGATTGGCACCAAATAGCACTGCATAAGCTAGTTTCCCAAGCCTTACTGGGTCCTGCATGCTTCCTCATCCCCAGGAGCTTATTTGAATTGCTCTGCATCCTTTGATTGTGCTAATGGGCCAGTCATAGTGAGAAGTGATTCCCCGCTCATTCCCGGGGAAACAGCTGGATCAACATTACTCTTGGTCACCTTTTGCTCGTCACCCACTGCTTGGGAGAAGGAATCACTTATATGATTCATAGCTTTGTCAGGAACAACTTTGAGATCACTGAAGTGCTATAGCAAAGTGTGGTGAAGAAATCAGGTGGTGCTCAACTCTCAGAAAAAAATAGCACCTGGGGTCTTTAAAAGCAAGTCTTAAAAAGGCATGGCTTAAAACAGCAGTTCTCAACCTGTGGGTGGCGACCCCTTCAGGAGTCGAAGGACTCTTTCCCAGGGGTCACCTAAGATCATCAGAAAACATATATTTCCGATGGTGTCAGAAACTGAGACACCGCTCCTCTATCCGTCTCCAGGCGGGTCCCCACACATGCAGATACGCCCACATAAGTACGCGGCGTGAAGACTGTGACCCAGGCTACACCATGCTTCAAGACAAACTTTCATTTATTTGTAATTAGAAATAAATATTTCACGATATATAATTACATATTGTTTTGTGATTAATCACTATGCTTTAATTATGTTCAATTTTTAACAATGAAAATACATCCTGCATATCAGCTATTTACATTATGATTCATAACAGTGGCAAAATGACAATTACGAAGTAGCAACGAGAATAATGTTATGGTTGGGAGTCACCACAACATGAGGAACTGTATGAAAGGGTCACATTAGGAAGATTGAGAACCATGGTCTTAAAACAAGCAGCCATCTAAGCTAAGTCCACACAGAAGAAGCACACCAGCCTGTGTGACCCAAGGACTATACGTAAGGAAATCCAAAACTGGAGGAGGAAACCGTATTAGAGATTAAATTCTGAGTGCCAGTTTGCAAGTGTATGCATGACAGTGAAAGCCTAAAATCCATTTGTAGGGGTCTCCTGTGAATTGTGCCTCCAGAGAATCCCCTCAGGTCACTCACCAGGGATGGGAATAGGCTTGCTTTCAGACAGAGTGCAATGGAAAGATGATTAATGCAGATGCAGTTAGGTTAAAATTTAATACTTTTGCTCTCCCTTTTGGCCCATTTTTAATGTGTTCTAGTTTTTATTATTTTCTACTTTCTTTTTGAGTTGAGACTTTTCTGGTTTGTGCTTGCTGTTGGGTTTTTTCTTTTGTTTTTGTAGGGTTTTCTTCATATGAACTCCAGGGTAGGCAAATTTAGAGATCGCAACTGGATTCATTGGCATAGTGATGACATGTTGGGCTCCTCACCACAAGGTCCGCAGTTAGAAAGCACCTGCCCACTCGGCAGGAGAGAGACGGGACTTTTCCTCCCATGAAGAATTATAGTCTAGGGAACTCACAGAGCTACTTTTACCTTCTCCTAGGGGTCTCCATGAGTCACATCAACTCAATGGCAGTGAGTTTGGGCTTTGGGGTTTTAACTGGATTAATCATTTCTTAAATTTATGGTAGGGAGATTGGGGAGATAAAGTCTTTCAGTGCTGTGGTCTGCATTGTTGGGTTTTCCTTATCTTCTTCAAAAGAGAAAGCTATCTTTTAAAATGTTAAGAGTAAATAACCTTTAACATTACAAGCTATCAAATAAGAATAGCAAACTTCAGAAACCATCGGTTTGGGTCAGTACAATTTATTTAATAATTTTATCTTTTTTAATCATTCAAATTATATTTGGAGTTGGTACTGGAAGTTTATAATGACTTGAAGGAAAGAACAAAGATCAGTTATAGAATAGTGCCACAGGAAATTAGCCTAAACCAGAAAAAAATAAAAAGTAAAAATTATCTAGATACACACACAAATATGAAAGGATATTTAAAAGTTTGTGGGAAAATGGAAAAGAAAGACAATGAAAGTTTTTCATAAATGTTTTT